ACACATGAGGTAAGCTATTCCACCAATGAGATATACATTCAGTTCTTTTAGTGTTTTATTTTGAGAGAAGGTTTGCTGAACTCTATGCAGGACTCAAACCGGAGATTCTGCTTGTGCTGGGATTACACATGTGCGCCATCACATGCAGCTGGGATGACTTCTTGCCCGAAGCCGATCCCACACTTCTGATCCCATGGGGTTCTTTCTTTACCTTAGTTTACTACAGAGGAGGAGAATTCCCTCTCCCACATGCTCAGGACCAGCAGTGTTTTCGATTTGGGCGGTTTCAGATTGTAAAACATCTGCATAGACTTGCCTGGTGGAGCCACGTCTCTGATCTGAGAATCAGACGCTGTGCCCCTGGGCTCTGAGGTTTCGGAGCATTTTCAGTTTCAGATTTTTTAGATAAAGGATGCTTAATCTGGACCAGCTTCCCTCCCTCCCAGATTTCTCACCACCACTATTCCTAAATAGATATCACCAACCCTTTTGTAGTCACAGAGCAATGACAGCAACCATTCTGAGAGACATGCTAATGAGAGAAAAAATAAAAATAAAAATGGGGCATTTAGGGCCAGCCAAATAGTTCAGTGGATTAAAGCGCCTGCAAGCAGGGGGGCAGGGGGCGGAGTTTGATCCCCAGGTCTGCAGTGCCGGCCCTGCCCCCGGGGCACGCTGAGAGGGCGACTAAGAGTGGGCTCTGGTGGTGCGCACCTGTAATGCTAAAAGAGAAAAAAATGTTAAAATTTTGAAATAGGGTCTTGCCAAGCTGCCTAGGCTAGACTTGAACTTGTGATTCGCTTGCCTCAACCTCTCAGGGCGGTGGATTACAGACAAATGCCATCATGCTCAGCTCAGACCTACAGTTCTTGGTGGGACAAGAGAGGGAAAACTTAAGAAGACCATTTTGAGATCACTATTACAAACAAAAGTGACACTCTTAGTGCCTCCCCAGCTCCCTGGTGACCACGGGTCTTACCCCTAACGCCCAAAACCAGAGGTCTTCAACTTTTTCTAAGCATCCACCTCTGGTTTCCACCCTCACTAATCAATATTTGTGCATGAATCACCCCATCTTCGGACAGGAGGCCAAAATTTCCCCTTGTGTAACTGTGGTGGTTGAGTGTGTCAATTTGAGAAGTTTAGTTAAGAAAAGATTAACTAAATCAGGAATTCCACACCCTAGGGTGGGGGGGGACCTGCCCTAAGGCCGCCCCTCGTCTGGATGATAGAAAGGAGAAACAAAGAAAGACAGAAGGATGGGTTTTCTCCTGTAGTGCTCCACCTAGTCTTTCGCCTTCACCTAAGACGCCATCTCCTGGCTCCCAGCACAGACTCCCCCGCTTCTGGTGTAAACCATTCAGCCTGCTGATGCAGACTCACCAGGGACCCTGCAGTGAACGCTAGACCTAGGACTGAATTCTTCAGTCTCCAGTGGGCATGCGCCTTCCGCTTGCTTCCTCCTGCAGCTCTGTGGTTGGCTACTGGGAGCCCATCTTGTAAATTCTCCTACATTTGTATGTTTTTTATTTTATTTTTTTTTTTAACGTATTTAGTACAGGGCCTACAGGGTTTCACTACACAGGTTGGACTCGTAGTGATCCTCCTGTTTTCAGCCTCCCGAGTGCTGGGATTACAGGTACGTGATACTACCCCCAGTCTCAATGGCAGCAAGGCACAGCAGGGATTGAACCCAGTCCCTTGAGTCTGTCTAAGCAGGCCGCTTTAATCCACTGAGCTATCTGGCCGGCCCTCTACCTTTGTACATCTTGTGTTTTATCTGTGTCTCTGGTGAAACACTGCCTGATACAGGTACCAACACTCCCTTTCCCTCAGGCTCTATGTTCTGATAAGGCTGAGAAGGATCCAACAGAGAGGAGCACTCTGTGTCATGCAGGATCTATCTTTCTTGAAACTCCCCTTCTGGGAAGTCAGGCCCGAGAGCCACTTCACTGCCTAGACAGGAACCCTCCCCAGCTGAATCCAAAGGATTGATAAGAACCAGCTTCGGCTTCCTCACTGCCCATGTGCCACCTAACTCACGTGTTCTCTGAGCCCTTGGCGGCGGGAGAAGACCAGACAGTGACAGCCTCGAATCTTGCAGTCTCCCTGGGGTCTTCCTTGGGCTGATCTTTGCATGATCACTCATTCCCCAAAGGCATACTGAACAACACGGCACAGAAGGACAGCGTCTACCAGGACATGCTCAGATCTGTGCCATCACCTCCACGCTCCACCCTCCCTGCAGGTGAACACACAGCTGACTTGACTCACAGCCACTCCAGGGGGAGGAGGACAGGACGGCTGAGCTAATGAGGTCAACGGACCTGGAAGCGAGACCTGCTGTGTGCCAGGGACCTTCTGCACTCCTAGGAGCAGATTCCAATTCCAGGGGCCACAGTGTTCAACACCACCTTTATTTTTTAACTAGCTTTTATTGGCAGTACTGGAGAATGAATCCAGGGCCTTTGCACTAAGCTTTATCCCCAGCCCTTTTTAGTGTTTCTTTTTGAGACACTGTCCCATTAAGTTGCTAAACTGCCCTGTCTGGGCTCAGACACTGAGATCCTCCTACCTAGGTCTCCCAAGGTGTTGCATTTACAGGCATGTGCCACTATGCATGGCTATCCCCACCTTTATTATTATTATTTTTTTAATGTATTTTGTGCAGGGTCTCACTGACTTCATGTCCAGCTCAGCATGCCCGGGGGCGGCACCAGCACAGCATGTTGTGCCAGGGATCAAACCCTGATCCCTGCCATTGCCTAAGCAGGCACTCAGTCTGCTGAGCTATCTCGCCAGCCCTTGATCTCCACCTTTGAATTTACATACAGCACTACAGATTCATTTGTCACAGAATGAATGATGAAATCCCACTGCAGATGCCCACTGCAGGAAAGTAAAACCTTTGCCAGTTTACAGAAAACCTTACTCTCTAAAGGCAGGGGTACCAAATGCTCACTGCTAAGCAGAGGTCCAGGTGGCACAAAGAACCCACCAGCCCTCACACAGGTGGCTTTGTGTCCCTGTCTCTTTGCACATTCAAGGCTACTGATTGATAAAAACCTGGCCCCCTCTCAGAATTTGTTTCCTCTTAGTTTCCAGAGCCACAAGAGATGTTTCTGAACTGTTGCTCTTAGGAGAAAGATATGTGTATGTGTATGTGCGTGTGCGTGTGTGTGTGTGTGTGTTTTTAATTTAATTTAGTTTTTATTTTTATTTTTTTGGTGGTACTGAGGATCAAACTCAGGACCTTGTGCTTGCCAAACAGGACTCTGTGCTTGCCAGGTAGGCGCTTATACCACTAGGCTATCTCCCCAGCCCTCTTAGAAGAAAGACAATATCAACCATGTCTGTGAGACGAAGGGAAGAGCAAAGCCAAGGCTCTGACCCAAGCAAGAGAAACTGACTGCTGGGAGCTTCAGCTGTGCTCACCCACCAGAACCCAGTCACCAGCATGACCAACGGATGGCAGTGAGAAGGGCCAGGCGCACAGTGTGCACCAGAAGTGCCACAAATCTGCAACTAGGTCCCACCACGACCTCGACCTCCGCAGATGATGTATGAGGTTGGAGAAGCACCGAGGACTTCCCCAAGGCCACAGAGATAACAGTAGGACCTAGACTGGGGATTCTGTCAGCCACTCGGCAATACCCCTGCACTCCCAGAAATGGCAGCTGGGGCAAGCCATATTCCCAGTGAGAGACAAGTTCCAGTGAGAGATGCTGAGCCCTTGTGGCTGCCACTGTCTGAGCAGCAGAGGGAGGCTCCTGATGCTCAGGGGGGTCTAGTATGTTGTCCCTTCCTCAAAAAGGAAAAAGGAATGAAATCCTCGAGGGCTGTCCATGACCCAAAGGCATGTGTGCCTGGTTTTCACAGATAAGCACTGCACTCATCAGGGACCCCAAGGTTATTTCCACATAAAGGACTTTCTGCTTCAAACCACACCACAGGAACTCAGTGCACAGATGGCCTGGCGTGGCCTCCCACGTCCCACAGGTCCTCCTGTCTCATGCATCACGCTCTTGCCACACTGGGCCTCTGCCCATCCACAGGCACATCTTCCCTGAGTGCTCCTTCTGCCTGGGCTGCTCTCTCCTCCCCTCTGTGCACCCCTGGCTCCTAGATTCACCCTAAATATCCCCACTGGCTAAGCATCCTTTATCCAGAATGACCAGGACAAAGGAAGTGTTTCCAATTTCAGATTTTTGTTTTGTTTTGTTTTAATATTTTCACAGACTTTATCATTTAAACATTCTTCTTCTTTTTTTTCTTTTTGGTGGCCGGCTCAGCCTGCCCTAGGCTGGCACTGCTTGTGGTGCCCAGGATCGAACCGCAGTTCCTGCACTTGCCTAAGCTTGCCTATACAGGCACTTTAGACTGCTGAGCTATCTCACCAGCACCTGACCATTCTTAAAGCAAAAGTTTGGGGCATTTTGGATTTGAGACTGTCAGATGAAAGGTGTCCAACCTATCCCTCCAAAAGCTGCCTTCTAGTTCCCTAGGCTAAAGTGTTTCCCAGGGGCACGAGACCCCACCTCAGCGCTCTGTGCCACACTTCCCACCCTGAGGTCTTCACTCACTTGTCTTGCATCTGTCTCCCCCCACCAGGCTGCCAGCTCCATAAGGAGCTATAGCCCGGTAGCTACAGCACTCTCTGGCATCGGGTGCCCAATAAATCTATATGGAATAAAGGAATGAGCCAATTTTTTTATCTCTGCGAAACGACATATCATGGGTACAGAACCAGGCTGTCCCTGTAAGCCTATGAGCAGCACACTTTCTGCACAAAAAGCCACAGGCAAATATGTCAGACTTTGGAGCCCACGTGACCCACATCTCAGCCATCACCTCTGCCACTGTAGCCACAAAGGCAGTTGTAGTTGCAGCATGTAAATGAATGAAGACAGCTACCTGCCAATAAAACCTTATGTATAGCACTGAAATTTGACTCGCGATTTATTTATTCTTCTATCGATGTTTTTTTCCAACTGTCT